CAGCCCGGCCTCCGCCCGCCCCCCGCGGCCCGGGCCTTACTCTAGCTCCTGGCGCTCGGCGCCCTCCGCACTCAGGTCCTCCTCCACGCCGTAGTCCAGGATGGAGCCCACGCCGAACAACTTGTTATGCCGGATCAGGGGCCGAATGGACTCCTGGTCCTCGCCAGCCACAAACTGCCCATAAAAGGTCATCTTCATCAGCTTGTCGAAGAGCCGTTGTCCTAGAAGTCTCCTGGCGAAGTGGAGCAGCTGAAAGGCAAAGGGAAGACGCTGTCCTGGGCCAGCAGCCTCCCCTGTCCCCAGCAGGACACACTGTTTCCCTGACCCCTTCACTCCAACCACAAAGCCTGGACATAGTCTCAGGGCCTCAGTTTTAGAGTGGAGACCACCCAAAGCAGCTTGCTGGTCTGTCTGCAGCAACTGTCAATCACCCACTCCTCATGCAGGGCGGGTCCCAAGTGGCACCCCTGTGGCCACTCATTCTCCAGGCCCTGCGTGCTCAGATGACCCCAGCAGGGCTCAGCAGGTGCCTGAACACCGCTTGGTGGATGAAGAAGCCAATGGCAGGTCTCTCTGGCATATTCAGCACATTCCTTATGTCCACACCTCAGAGGTTACACTGGGGGAGAGGATTTGGTACAACTTCCTAGAAGGCCAGTGCCCAGATTTTTCAATGGTTTGTCTGTTGCTTAGCCCAAGTTCCTAATGTAGTGCCTGGCAAGGGACCAGCTCTTCAGTAGTTGTTGAACAAATAAACATGTGCAAAATTCAGAATGAATCTGAGCTCGGCTGGGGTGAGGTGTAGGCTAACAAGCAGCCAGGTGATCATCTACTGAGTTCTGTGAGATGAGAGAGCACCCTGCGACCAGTGGGGACTCAGCACAGCCATCCAGGGCCACAGCAGACCAGTTCCTGAGGAAGACAGCTGCCCATAAACCACCAATCACATCCCAAATTTTTGCTGTCATTCATTCAAATGTCCTGAGCAGCTGTTTCATCTCCAGTACAATTCTAGGCTGCACAAAACAGAGAGGCTCACATCTTGCTGGGAAGGGACTCTGAAGAAGGGACGGGAAAGGTAACTCCAGGGGGTGACTTAGAACAGGGAGGGAGGTGTCTGCTAACGGATTCAGAGAGGGGGCTTGCCAAGGTGAGGGGGTGACACAGAGCTGCTGCAATGCAGACAGCCAGAGCAGGAGGGAAGGGGACAACAGAAAGCCTCCAGGGCTTCGAGGGATGGCTGCTGAGAGGGCACACCCACCACCTGGCTGGGAATTCCTGTGTCCACTGCCTCTCTCCCAGTTACAAGACAGGAAGAGCCTGAGGTTTCTCAAACCCCACAGATAACAGAATCCCCCTTACTGTGGGGAAAATCTCTTGGGATGAAGGTTTCAAGGAACAATCTCTTCTAAGCAACAGCATAAGCAAGTCAAACACCTTCATCCCCAAACCAGTCCCAAGCAGCCAACACTGGACCAAAGGCAGACAGGCCCTGAAATGCAGGATGGCTCTCAGTGGAGATGCCTCAAGGTTACACCTGTGAGCACTGCAAGGGTCCCAAGACAAGGTTTCCCAGACCCTCACCTCTGTCTTGCTGCATGCAGCCTGTCTAATTTTATTGTATCTTGTTATTTTTATAAAGAAGATTAGAAACAGAAACTGAAAGGACAGGGCAGGCCTCTCTCTCCTCCAGCCTAACACTGAGCCAGGGCCAGAGCAGCCTCGGAGGGAAAGCAGGTCTTAAACATATCGAAGCTCATCCAGTGGCAGGCAGGGTGGAATAACCGTCACTCGGCTCTGGGAAAGAACCCGTGACAGTATACACACCAGCTCCAGCCCACCATGTGTGGAAGCGTCTCCTCCCAGGCCAGCAAACCTTCCCATCCAGGGCTACATGGCAAATAATTTATTTAGGCTCTTCCGGCCAAACTGCCTCTGTCCTAACTACTCAGCTCTGCCAGAGTAGTGCAAAAGCAGCCACAGCCACCACTAATTGAAGGAGGAAGAACAATACTGATGCTTTAGTGACAATGACAGGAAGGCTGGGATTGGGGACCCTGGGCTGGTGACCTCCATACACCCTGAACTGCACTCTGCTCCAAAGGCAGGCGGGGCTCAGAGGGCATGGCCACCCAGGTCATGGAGCTAGTCACTCAACCTCTCACCCTGGCAAAGGGGAGGCCGGTATGCCAGGGCATAGGGCAGGGCTCACAGTTTTAAAGCCAACTCCAGAACAAGTGGCCACTTTGCAACCATCTGGGCAGCACTACCTGACACGAGGGCAGCCCCACCTTTTCTCCAGGTGGGGGCATCCTTCTCGGATTTAGACTCTTGCACCAGTAACACATACTCTAGTTTTCACTGTAAAACACAGATGCGTGCAGAACACAGTTTTAGCAGGTTCTCTCTCCCTGCCTCTAGCAGGGCCATTGTCACAATTTGTAGTGTCCCCTTCCATCACCCTCTTCTGCACTGGCTCATACCCAAGCACAGAAGCCTTGGTGATGAAAGACCTGGATTTTCTAAAAGATTCTCAGTGTGGTCCCCGCTGAGTCCAGAGTCAATACAACAGCTCAAATCGGGCTCCTGCAGGCTAACACTCTCCCTGGGAGTGGACTTAATGACCCCAGCAGGAATTGAAGGGACCAGCACTGCTCAGCAGGAGGAATTTTCAGCAGGAAGAATTTTTACTGCAGGGCAGAGGACAGGGAAGGGCAGGCCCACAACTCTGTGCAGTCTGTCTGGCCTCTGCCCCATCTCCTCCAGCACCAGGCACCGAGACCACCATCAGTGGGACCACAAGCAATGACAAAGGTAGAACAGGTCCAATGGGGGGCCATGCAGAGTACCTTCCACCGATAGTAGGCTCCTTGAGGTCATCCCCAGGGCACAGGTGGGATTTGAGGGAGCCTGGGAGGGGCCTCCAGTCTCTTCCAGGCACCCACAGCTCAGTCCCTACATTCCAGCGCTTGCTCCTAGCAGGCACCAGAGAGAGAGCAGAGATGGCACCACCCTCCCAAGGTAACCTAGGGCCTCCAGCTATGCTGGCTTCACTGCTAGTTTTGACCCAGGGAAGAAAATTCCATGCTGTGCGTAGACAATATCTGGCCTAGCCGGGTCAAAGCCCTCCCTTTCCCTCACTTCCATCCACACAAGGGCACAGCCTCTGCACCTCTCATGCCAGTGCCACCTGGCAGTCCTCATAATGGCCAGACTGGGAGCCGGGTCCTGTATTTGCCCTCCACAGAGACCCCAGAGACAGCCACTCCTTGCCTCCCTAAGTCATTCCTGCCCCCCAGCTGCCTCCTCCCTCCTGAATACTGCACCACCAGTGATCGCTGCTCCTTTCTGGCTTCCCCTCAGATGTGGGTGCTCCCCAAAGAGTAGTCATCACCTCCTACCAGCTTCCCTCACCTCGAATGTCCCTTCTTGCCCTCCTCCCTCAGTTGGCCACGGCCACTGCCTTACCTTAGGACATCCCGCTGCCACAAATGCGGGATGGCTTCCCAGAGGCCTCCCCTTCTCCAGTTCAGCTCCTTCTTCCTCTGAATCCCTCCCTCCCCTCACCAGTCCCAGACTCCAAATTTGACGGTGCAGCTTCGGGGAGAGATCCAGGCCAACACCTCCACTGGCGTCACAGTCCCTTCAGAGCCACCACCTCCCACCTGTGCCCTCACCTCCCTCCTGCTGTGGCCTGGCCTTCACCTAAGCCTGAGGTGTGGCTCAGTGCACCTTGGTCCAGCCACCGCCAGGGGCTGAGGGAGCAGCACCATGCCCTTCAGCAGTATCACCTGAGCAATCCGCTAGAAGAACCTTCCAGACGCTTCGTACCAACAACTGGAGCCTTGCAAACTGTTCCCAGGGTTCCTTTAAAAAACTGCATCTCTGTGCCCCAGAGTGACAGCAGCTAAGGCAGTGTTCTGCTTCTTACCCTTCCCAAAGCCCTCATACTTTTTACCATGTTAAAATTTACCATGTTAAAATTTTAAAAGTTTGGTGTTTGAGCAGCTTCCCATTTTCCTCCCAACACTGTTCGTAGCGGCCGGGTTTGGATACTGGGAACTCTGGGGTCCTAGGCGATGAGGACTTCGCTTCAATACCACCAGACTTCACTTTGGGCAACACAGGACACTCAATTTTAAATTTCAGATCACAACTTTGTATTACTGCAAGCGGTATACAGTTTAAAAACTAAATTGTCTTTTTCAGTTGGTAGTAATCACATGTAGCAAAATTCAGGAACTAAAAGGAAGGCAGGAAACACCTCCTCTCCCGACTTCCCTAGCTACAGGCGATGCTCAAGAAGCCCCTTCTTTACACTCTCCAACTTCATAACGAACCCTGGGCCGGGCGGCCGAAGCCGGGGCGCCCTGCGTAACCGCCCGCCCCGCAGCCCGCCCCGCACCTGCTCGTG